CAAAGGTAGCCCAATGTTAAGTTGTGGTGAGATTTTGATGACGGTGATGAGTACAATTTATATAAACTTAAATGGTTTATGTACAGATTACATAAAAATATTATATTTTTGAATCTTTATTATAATCCTATTTGTAGAAAACACTATTATAACACTATCATACCTAATGCAATGAACAGAATGTGTATTTTTATTTTTATTTTGTTCATATCTGGAAATAACAATCCACTTTGATAAGTCATGTGACCCCATTTTCATTGTTTCACGTTATTTTCTTTGAAAATATACAATGTTTTCAATTAGTACAGTCCACTGTAGAAACTCAAATCTGTTTTACAGTATCACTAAAATCAGAGTAACGATATGAACAAAAATATTGTTATAAAAATGAAAAATTGTACTCTAACACAGTCCAATACTATTCTCAATAGTGATACAGAAAGTGCGAAAAGTATGTACTATGACTGTAAAAGTAAGTCATTAATATAATTTTACCTGACGATGTTTGAATAAATAAATACTAGTAGCTTGATTAATTGTAATGTTTTATACGTGACGACAAGAGCCATACTGAAGCTACATGGGTTGTAGCACAAATGGTTCGACAGCTGGAGAAGGACACTCAAAAAAAAATACTACGATATACGATAATCGTCACACAACTCTATGAAGAAGCCGCCGGGCACTTCATCTCCCGAGTATCGTAAGCCTAAAAGCTCTAAAGTATCAAAGGTTCATCATACTTATGAAAGGAACGAACCTCAACTATGTGTGGTTCACTGAGTCTAGGGCCAAAGCAACCGCAAGAAAACTAGGTGCCCTTGCAAGAGTGTGGCGGTACTTAATGCCGGTGCAGCTTTTTACCTTATATAAAGTACAAGTCCGGTCGGGCGTGGAGTACTACTGTCACATATGGACTGGTATTGCAAAATGCCACCTAGCGGCATTTGACACGCCCACGCAACCAAACAATTTACTTCGTCTTTTGTAATGCGTGAGCAAAGGAATGGAATATATTGCCCGTGTCCATCTTTCCGTCCGAATACCACCTGGGCGTTTTCAAGGCAAGAGTGAATAGGCTTTTGTTACCTTAAGGTATTGCGACTTACCATTTAGGGCTACATCACCACTTACCACCAGGTGGGATTGTGGTCAAGCACTGACTTATAATAAGTTGAAAAATAGCAGTAACTTACAAGATACTGAGCACTTTCAAGTTCATCCATACAGATGATATTTGTATCATTATGTATTTCGTCCTTTCATTAATAAATACACTAGTGAAATATTAAATAATAAAAGAACTAGTGATCTGCACCGGCTTGCCCTAAATAGGATCTATTAATGTAGCGTTATTTAGATTTATGATAATCAAAGATTATTTAATTTATTAATTCTTCGTTTTTTTTTTTAAATAAAAATCTTCAATATTTTCCGGACAAAGTATAGCCTGAATTCCTCCTGGCATTGCTTTCTATCCGTTCGTAAAGTTTTATCACAATTGGTTCAGCCATTCCGTAGATTAGGCCAAACAGAAAGGCGACAAAAAATTAAAACGTGATTGCTTACGTACCAATAGCATGCAAGTAACTCCCTAAGCTTATAAAATAATAAATAAAATAATGACTATCAAAGTCGCAATTTAAGTTACTGTCACTGCTATAACGTCACAAGTGCTTTTGTTATTAAAGGTGTTTTCATATGTCAGTTTCATATATTTACCATAGATAATAGGAGTCGTAGTCATTTTAAATAATAAGCTTAAGTTGAAATATGTAAATAGTGATATACCGATATTGAATTTTTTGAAAATACAAGTAAATAAGGTTTTTTTTCTGAAATCATCACAAATTGAATGTGATTTATGGTCAACAACGTTTTTTCCACAAAGCTTCGTGTTTTTTCCTACCGATCGACCCTTACAAAAATCCTTACTTAAAGTGTGCGTGCGCAGTAAAATCGGTTAAAATAATGCATTACCACGCGTTTTGAATTTAAATGAAAATAAGGGTGTTTGAGATTTTTTTTATAAATTTTTCTTCACCATTTAATAATAAAAGCAGTATAGGCATATCAGTTATTCCAAACCTTCTCTGCGAATTTGTTCAGTTATTGCAAAATAACCATGTATTTAACCACTCACTTTTATTCCATAAAATATTAGATACTTCACCACAGACTTTTCCCTTCTTAAAAACATCGCCACCTTAATAAAAGAGCCCGTGTAGCAATTTTTAAGACTTCTCGATATTCCATTTGTATTTTGTCAACATTATTATAAATAAAAAATGAGATTATAAATTTTTTTAGATTTTAAAGTAACGAAAATTTGGTAAATGGAATGCATAAAGGTATTAAAATCGCCCTTTGTTTTCTTTTTGTAACAAAGATTTCATTATATTCGTTGAGGCCTCCTCTGTGTTTGTGTACTATGTAGTCATGAATTGACGGACCGAATCACAGGAGTTTTAACCTTCCGGGCGAAAAATAATATGTTTACTGGTATCCTAACCTATATGAACTACCACTGGCAACACTATACACCCCATGTCGTTGTGAATTTTTCGTGCCGAATTAGCGAGTCGCATCTTCAAATTAAAAAGTTTAAAATTGGTTTTTAAGTGAAAGTTGTTAATATTATTATTAGCAACATGTGAAAACTTACTTAACACTCATTAACGTTTTGGACAATTGCAATGTATAATTGTAATGTGCAATGTACAATTGTATTGTATGTAATTTTTATATTTAAATAACTTGTAGGGTAGATTAACTACAACACGAATTGTAAAATCTATATTTGAAATAGAACGAGCATCTGTAAGTACATTATTAAATATTACATTTTCAATAAACTTAATATGTATATTGTATTTATGTACAGAATACGTATAATTCATAAGTATTTTAATGAAAAAACCTGTAGGGTAGATTAATAAAATAAAATAAAATCAATGTATAAGACAGAAGAAAGAGAATTTTAATTTAATAGGCAAATTAATATCTGTTTGTCCAGCTATCTTTTATGGGTAACTATATACAAAACAAATAAATATGTATCAAAAGGAAATAATTTTGAATCTAAATTAATACTGAAAAGTCATATTTAGATTTCAAGTAATCCAATTACACGGGGTGCTTATAAAATGAAAATCCTTTCGGGATATAATGAATGTGATATTGTTTTTTGGTCAAAAAATTACATGGTATTAGGTAAGACAAAACATATTGAACATATTTTAGTTTTTACTTTGGATCATAAAGTTTTGCTATAATCTAATATTTAGCTATGGCTAAAATTTCTTATAACACTACAGCTATATCATATTATATAAACCACATGGGTGGCATATAATAACCACATCAAGTGACATAGCTTGTAAAATTGATCTAGTGAAATATATGTATTTCTTTTTTGCCTTATGAATAACATCTTAAGGTAATTCTCTCGTATGCAAAGAATCCAGGAAAACTAATGGCAAAATAAAATGGGAATCAAATTCTGAACCTATAAAAAGATTGTCTATAAGATTTTAACCAAAATTAATAGATAAACTTAAGTTTATGCATTTGCTATTAGAAAAAATATAAATGCATAAAATTCATAGTCAACCTTAAGTTTCATGCACTATAATCCACAACCTTCAAACGGAATACATAAGAAGGAACAACCTTCTAATCTTCATAAGCCTTTTACTAAAACATTGTTAAAAAATACGACTTATTTAAATTCTTACCCTGGTCAACAACTATTATGGAAGATCTCCTTTGATCTAAACTTACCTTGCTGTGGCAGTGCTGTCAGAGGTATTTATGTATTTAAAGCATAAAAATAAACCCTGGTATGTGTATACAATATGTCTATTGTCTAAAGTCGTGGTAGTAAACCCTTAATGGGTTGTGAGTGATCTAACCATCATAAAGTTATGAATTTTGGAAAATATACTTATTATGTGGTCTAGAATAATATTTTCTGAGTTTGATATTTATCATTTATTGCTCTAATGGGTTTTACCACGTGGGAACTATTTTCCTGTTGTCCATATAAAAATATATGTTTTTGAGATACAACATGAATATTATTCCCACATCTGGGTAGGAAAGAATGATAGACATTTCATTACATGTCACCATATTTATTTATGAAGTTTGTCAAAACATTCGGGGCAAATAGATACTTTGCAAGTTTTGCATATGAATCTGGAGCGTTTCTCTTTTACGCGAGTGGAACAAAAGCGGCATCTGCGGAATTTCAAATTATCTTGAGGTAGATGTAGTCCCACATTCAGCAGTCTGATTTCATCAGGAACACCGTATACTCCGCCCTTTTTGTTCTTAAAAAGGGGAACAGTCATTTTTTTGGCAAGGAAATTGTTTATGAGTAGACGGACAAGTCGAGACGAAAATCTCTGTGTGTCATAAGACTATTTTGATGGTAAACAATATATGAGTTCACCACAGCCGCCTCGAAAAGAAACCAAAACAAACGGTGCCAGTATTTTCTTGACTTGCGACTCAGAGGATAGGATGATCTATAATGATCAAATAGATCGACTCCTCCCATGTGTTCTATATTCTTTATAGCTGACAAAACATTGCTTTTTTTGAGCCGTTCTTCTGTGTCCTTTGTATTACTTCAACAGACCTTGGATCATGCGCTGTAGTACTTACTAATACATCTTTTGTATCCATGCATTTAATGCATGCAATAGGATTGGAATATTTGAAGATGAACTCACCAGTACTCAGTTTTAGATCTTTGTTTTGCTTGCTAATTTCTGGTGGCAATTCCTTCCTGTTCGCTCGAATGGTTCCTACAGCATATATCTTCTCTGAATACAAAATCTCTCGTTCAGGCTCGTAAAAAATTATCAAACACTATGAAAGTATCTTCTGGCACATTTTGACATAAATCCAAAACAACTCTACACCCTAATCCCTCTTCAGCTGTATTATCTGTTTTGCCTGTATACATTTAGAACTGATAGAGGTACCCAGTTTTAGAATCCCAACGACACCTTAGATTTATAACCTCGTTTAATCGGTTTTTTAGGCATGTATTGTTTCATAAATGATTTTCCTTTAAATTTTATCATACTCTCGTCAATGGATTGATTTTGAGATGAGGAGCAGTTTTTTTGAAAGGTTTCGTTGTACATCTTTATATCAGGTATTGATTTTATTGATATCAACACCATAAGCCCAAAATATGCATTCACTTCTTCATATGTTGTATCTTTCCAATGTCTTGAGCATTTATAAGCTACATAGATATTTGTGTTTCTCACAATCAAATTTACCAACTCTCTGGAACTTTCTGGAAACATATCCCGGAAATAGGACAATGGAGTAGATCGGTTGTTATATTGCTTGTTTACAGTCAAAGACCTTTCAAAATTTGGGGGGAGTGAGAATCTAGACAAATCATTGGACCACTCTCGCAATTTCTTCAATAAATTAAAATAATTTGAACTGGATCTAAATCTTTGTTGATCGGAAGGTCCTCTACGTTGATAGGCAGGTGTAGGTATAGGAGGTGGTCTGGGCGCTTCAGCCACAGGCTCTGAATGAACATCTTCCTCAAGAGCAGAAGGTAACATGGGCTCATTAACTGCAGCCTCCACAGGAACATTACTCTCAAGTGAAAAAGATGACATGGGCTCATCAATTGCATCCTTCTCAGAAACATTCCTCTCTCTCTGGTGAAGAATGTATGGTAAATTCCTGCACTGGGGAGGGTGCTTGCACTGGGGAGGATGGTTGCGCTGGGGAGAGTGATTGCGCTGGCTGATTACAGTCATCAAGAATGTCATTCATCTTTGCATCTAAATTATTAAATAAGTTGGGCCTTTCACTCACGAAGGTAAATTCTTCATAGTCCTCATCTTCCTCGTCATCGGAATCATTCTACTTAATTCCGATTCAACCTGTGCATCTTTCAACTCTCTCCTCAGTATCACCTGTAAGAAAAAACAAAGATGTAGTTCCGTAATGATCAGTAGGAAAATAGTTCTCACATATTTTGGAAGCCCACAAAAGTCGAACCAAATAACTATTTAGGTAACTTTTACATAAAATGTACAACAAATATCATAATTATAACAAATCTGTAAGAAAATTATACTTACGGTATTTTTTTCGACATATTCGACCAAAAAACTCACAAACACGCATAAAATTAACATTCAGCTGAAGTTTTGACAGGAGACGTCGGGGTTTTTGTTTTTTTTCTTTCGTAAAGTGGTGCGTTCCAATTCACACTATTTTTTTATCATAGACAATTTTACGTAGTTTTATTATTTTGACAGATTGTGGGAAACTATTTCTTCCTGACCCTTTGAGAACACATATAAAGATGTGGGAATAATTTTCCTACTGCACATTTAAGGGATAAAGTAAAAAAATTACTTATTATTCTCCCTATTTTGATTTGGGCTCATACTCTGAAGTTAAACAGTTCTTTTCTGGTGTTTATAGGAAGAAAAATAAAAACTAGAACACAATCAAAGCTTACTAACATAATGTGGTTAACAAAGCTGAATTTGATCAAAAAGAAAAGCTAAGAAATATACAGTAGTAAGAGATAAAATGAGTATTTTAACCGACTTCAAGAAGGAGGAGGTGTTCAGTTCGACTGTATGTTTTTTATGTGTGTTGCCTCATAGCTTTTCTATGGGTGAGCCAATTTTGATGAATCTTTATTTTTATTTGAAAGCTGGTACTTCAAGTGTAATCTCATGTAGATTTAATCGGGATCTGACTAGTGGTTTTTGAGTTGTCCTTAATAATGCGTATTTGATTAATTTTGAATACATTGATGACCTTATTTTATCTCTATTGAAGACGGTTGTGCAAGGTTTTTAATTTTGCCACTTATATCAGTTACCTCACAATATCACTTGCATGTCACTTAAACTGTATGAAATTTAGTAAATTAGTTTTTAATTTTTAAGACTGCTTAATATCCCTGCAATAAATTAAGCAGCCAGTTAGGTAAAGTTTTAACAAAAAAAATACATTACATTTTACTGTACGTAGTACTCAGCATTCATCCCCTTCTCATCCTAGAAAAAGTTGTATTGATGATATTGTTACAATAAGTGTTAGAAAGACAACAATCTTACATCAGAACTTTTTCCGTTTATTATAAGAGGCCATTATTAATTAAGAGCATTTGAAAAGTATAAAATAAATAAACAATAATTCATAATGGGAAATTATATAATCTAAATTTCTATATTATGCTTATTGTTTATTTTATTGTAAATTGTTAATTTATGACAGTAAATAATTAAAATGAAGCAATCAAATCTTTAAACATCTACATAGTATACAAACACAGAGGAGGCGTCAACGAACATAACTATTTGATTAAAGTAACATACCTGTAAGTGTCCTTCGATCAAAATTATATGAAGTTGACGCCTCCTCTGTGTACAACCCTACCCTGCTGTATATTATTACCCACCCTAAGGGTTTGCTTGCATTTTAATTAGTTTTTCATAATTCTAGTGGATATAAATTCATAATGACATGAGCTGTATAGTGTTGCCAATGGGAGTTCATATAGGTTGGGATAGCAGTAAAAATATTAAGCTATTGCATAGCTTCTATCGCGGGCCTTGAGCGCGGGGACCGAATCCAGAAATTCCGTAACGAAAAAAAAACCTCACGCTCCCCACTCCGACGGGCACGGAGGTGTGGCGTTGAAAGCCGTGCATCGTCTAACGTCGTTTCAGTTCGGCAGACTTCGGCACTCGGCAGACTTCGGCACGGTGTTTGTGTGCGTGCGACTCAGTAAGACGTATGCGTGTACACTAGCTGCTAACTCAATGATAAAAATTCCTAAATAACCTACATGTATAAGATATTAAAAATATTTTAAACAATATTAACTTCTCATTTATTCAACAAGAGAAAAAAAATGTTTTCTTATCGGTCACCACGCTCAAAAAGTGTAACTTGATTTAATATCAAAGACTTAACTGCATAAATAAAATAAATAAGTAATTATAATTGCATAAGTTGATAAAAAATGCTATGCAATAGCTTTACCGCGGCAGTCACCGAGTGCCACACGTATTTTTATTTTTCCACCGGAATATTAAAACTCGTGTGAATCGGTCCGTCAATTCATGACTACATAGTATACAAACACAGAGGAGGCGTCAACTTCATATAATTTTGATCGAATAACACTTACAGGTAAGTTACTTTGATCAAATAATTATAATTAAATTAATAAATAAAATTAATTTAAAGCTGAAAACAAATTTTAGTTTCTTTAAATTAGTTTCAAAGAGAACTGCTTCATTAAAGATAAACTAAGCCTCTTAACTTTATATCATTTAATTAATTTTCTTAGCAAACAACGAATAGACCTGATTTAGTAAATATGCCAAAAACTATTCAATAAAAAGATTAGTAGACTTGTACTAGAATTTTTATTGCATCTACTGCTGGCATTAGTAAACTGATAGACTAGTAGTTTACTAATTCTAGCTATACATGTTGGCCGAGCGAAGGCGAGTACTAATGTATAGAACGCCCATTTGTCTAGCCTTGCTATTTCTCGTCGTCGCTCGCCTAGCTGGCCGAGTGAAGGCGAGCGCCAAAGTTTATACGGTTCATTAGACGTTCCTCACGGCTACCTATACGGACTTCCCATAGTTTAGGTTCAGAAAGATATCAACTGCTAACATCTGAAGGCGATCAGCGTACTCAAAACCACATTTCAAATAGTAGGAGCCAGGGTGAACGAGCTCCTTTTAGCACTAAAGCGACACGATTGTGTTCTGGAGACGTAGAATCCCACGGAATTGGTATCGTCCAATTCGGAGAAAGCCTGCAGTAAAAGATTCGCAAGCTCAGCCATAGCTTCTCTTTTTGACTAGATTTGATCCCGACTGGCCCGAGCCTTGGCTGGTAACATATAACGAAAACAAACAGATTAAAAACACATTAATTTGCAGCTAAAAGAGTGCTGTGGAGAGAATGGACCCTGAAGAACTCTGGCGTTTGTTGCGATAGAATTGAACGAGCACCCATCGACGAAGACGAGAAGAGATCATTCACTTAGAAATTCCTTCATCCAGTCAATCCGAACAGGAGGTAAGGCGTACGCTGGAAGCCTGCCTAAAAGGTTTACGCGCCATATCCTGTCAAAGGCCTACGAGACATCAAGAAAAACAGCAAGTGCTTCACCAAGATTCTTGAGGGCTTCGCCCAATATGTAAGTGGCCGCCAATCATACGCTTGAAGGTCCCCAGTTGATCGATTTCGACGAAACCGTCATTAATCATTTTGCTTTAAGTATTTCACTAAATGAGGGTTCGGTATACACTTCATAATCCGCAAGAGTATTGAGGTGATCGCAATTGGCCGATAGTTGTCAAGGTCGGTACGGCTGTCCATTTTAGGCACAGGTTCCACGGCTTGACTTGGCTGCCTTCCAAGATTTGGGCACTATTAGAGTCATGAATAAAAAAGAAAGGACAAGCGCGTCAACACAGGAGCAAACTCAGGTGCACATATCTTTAGATATATAGTTGGTACACCATCAGGTATACTTGTTTTATTTATGTCTAGACTTCGCAATATTTTAAAAACCTCCTTGTTGTTGATACAGACCTCTGACACAGAGGTACCCCAGCAAACTTTGTGCAAAAACAAGAACAAATAAGTCCGCTTTCTCCTTGATGCTTGCGCCAGTGAGCCTTGTGGTTTTACCAGTAATACTTCATCGCTTGACATATCACATCGGTATTGGCATTCGCGCACTTTGAGAGATCTTTACACAAGAATCAAACCTACTGGCAGGGATAGGATGCAAAGAAATGTCGCATCTCTTCGTAATCTGCTGACTTCTATCGCCACATTCACCACACACCTTGGAAATCCTAGTTATGTGTAGAACATAATGACACAGATTTCACCAGACAGAGGTCAGATGTTCCCAAGGAGGAAGAAGCTTGTACATCATACCTTTCCGGATCAGTTGTCACCAGAAAGTCGAGGACGTTGACTGTGGTCCATTCATCGGGTACCGTAATGGCTCGTTTTACAAGCTAGGAGAACCTCAGCGCTAAATTCCAAGTAACATTTCCATCGTTGTCGGTCTTCTGTAAATCGTCGTTGGGGTCTTTCCCAGAAAAACCAGCTGTGCGGTAGGGTACCGATTTACAGCCGTATTAGAGGCTTAACTGAGGTGCTCAAACAGCCTCTTTGTCTCATGGTTACCGCTATCCAATTGTTAGACAAAAGAATAAATAATTTAATCCGTTCCTATGTCTATTAGTACCTTAATCGTAGCGAAAGTGAGGCCTTCAAGGTGACGAAAATACTTACAGCAGATGTCATTACGGACATATGTACAGACTCTGGTACGCTGATGGAAATTATGCAAAAATGTGTGGCCAGGGCAGTCAAAGTACATCGCATCTAGAGGATATCTGATCTGTGTCTCAGTGAAGAAGAGTTATTGGAGCTTGTCCGTTTTAATGTGGTATTGAGATTACAGTGCAGACCTCGGATGTTTGTGAAGTGTACTTTGATGGGGACGAAATGCAACCGCTGAACATACTAACACTTCTTTTCCCTTAATGAATTGCGTAGTGGAGTAAACGGATTGATAGAATGGCAGTTAGACGATGCGTCACACGTACAACCTAGGGACACAAACAGTCACAGCATCGATGGTACCTAGCATGGAGGCCGCGGTGACGTCCGAACGCCCCTAAAATCAACATCAGACATTCTCTTCCTGTTGTTAACATGCAAGATGGAGCCCTCGATGTTTCGTAAAATAGGGATA